TGTTGAAGTGAAATGCATCAATCTGGTGCACTTTGAGTACAACATGAATGTATGGATACAGCTCTCAACACTCAGATGAAAGGGAGCTGTATACTTTTCAATAATCCGAACATCTTTAGAATATGATCACAACACAACAACACAATTGTGTGTGTGTGTGTGTGAGAGAGAGATTTTTACATATGTCTGTAAATGATTTTGGTTTCAGTTGTGAGTGTGTGAGCAGGCTCGGATTGGCCATCGGGAGATTCGGGACTTTTCCCGGTGGGGCGCTGCCGTTGGTGGGCTGCTGCCTTCGGTGGGCCGCTGGCTCTGGCATATAGGGGGCCGTGGACTTTCACAGCGCCGCTGTATAATAATAATAATCTCCCGTTCATCGTGTCCATTCGCGACCCACCGATCACATCTCTCCCACACTTTGAGAAACGCTGCCTTATGGAAACAGAATTTATTCCAGCATGACAAACAAAAAAGTTTCTAGTTATGACCAAGTAGCAGCAGCAGAAATCCACTGAATTTCACTGATAGTTTATTATAAATTGACTCACTTAAAACAAGTATGCGTTAAGAAATATTGCGTCAATGTCTAGTGAAGGGGGCATATTGGTGAACAGCATATCACAGTCAGCAGTATCAAACAGTCAAACATAACATATACAAAAATAAATGGGCAAACCCCATCATTGTATACATAATGGTGATCACCATCTCTCTGCATGAGGCACTGGGTAAACAGAAGGACATCTGCTTGCACATACTGTCACCTGCTGGCTGTCTTGCGAAACTACAACACAAACATAAATACAGCAGGCACTAGCTAGAGAAAAAGAGCATCAATACTAAAATAGACATGTTTAAATAGTCTTCGGTGTAAGGACTCTGAGGGTGAGGCTTTCAGCACTTTGGATTCATAAATTAGAGTTAGAATCAACTGCTCTTTAACAGTTTCCTTCAGGTCTACAGATACATTATCTATATTGATTATGGCTTGTGAGATGAATTACCTGCATACCGACGTGATTGCACCCTGTTTTTGTCTTGGAATGGAATAAAAAACAGCATGTTCTCGTGAACTGACCGACTAAGACGTGGTCATGTGTTGCTGATTGATTCGTGCATTAAATATTTGAGAACTACATTCTTTATTGTCTCTATAAAGTAAGGCCTTGATTGTATTCCCTGATAGCTGAAACCTGTCAAGCAACACAAAGTTAATAAGCATTCTTGCTTTTCTTTGTCTTACATGACTAACCTGATCAATGTAACCATGAATCTCTTCAGTTTATGATGACAGAAAAGCATAAAGCTGCACAATTTCTGCTTTTGTTATTGAAGAATGAAACAGACTTAATAATATGTAAAGAGTAATGTTACCTTGAAACCGGGAATTAAACTAACCAGGATTTTCAATGAAAATATACTAACAAAATCTGAAAAGATACATCAAATTTGTGATCAGAAATAGACCTTTTCAAATCAAATCTGTTATGGGTCTGATTCACTTAAAATCTTGTTATGTTTATATTCGATTTTAATCGCCTCTTATTTTATTTTATTCTGAAATTGAACAACGAAACCCAATTATTGGATAAATAAAGTTTTTCTGATTCTGATCATTACAAATGTAATGACTACCCCTGGTAGGTGGACCTCATGGCTATCTCTCCTCTCTCATAATCACTTGTCTGGATTAGTGTGAAGCAGCAGTCTAATAAAGTGCAGTCAGCAGCTGCTGTGGCTCCTGGAGAAGTCGGGCCACGCATGCAGCAGCTGTGCCGGCTTGAATCCGTTCACAATGACCAGTTTTGCAAAAGTGCACCTGTCGTACTCCAGCTGTCCAATTTCAAACAGGTTCCTGAGGGTCAGGCTGCGGGAGTACACGGGCCGGACGTCCAGCACACGCAGACACAGCCCCACGTACACGTCCTCCAGTGGGATCATCCTGACAAACCTGGAGGCCCAGGAGATCCTGGGGGCCAGGTCTGCGGAGAACACATACCCAGCTCCAGACACATATGGGGGGAAGCTGTCGTCCGGGTACAGCCCCTCTGACACATACCACTTGCTGTTCCTGTCCCTCCTGGGTCGGCCGTCACTGATCAATGAGCCTGTGATGAAGCCCTGCCTGGGGGAGCCCCTCAGCCTCCTCACAAGGAGGAACACATTCACAAAGATGTCAGCGTCCACCTTCATGGCGTAGGAGGCGTTTGGGCAGTGGGTGGACAGCCAGTGCATCATCATCATGGTCTTGATGGTCAGGTTGTGGTAACTGTCCTGGAAGTCCATCTGGATTATGTCAGCATGTCTCCTGCTCTCCTCCTCCAACTCGGCCTGGGTGCTGGTGCCCCGCACCCACTCAGGGAGCCCCACATAGAACAGAGTGAAGGTGTCCCGGCCTGGAGCAGAAGCCCCCCATGTTGACCTGACGGCTTGCCTGGCCACAGCCTCACCAGGGGCCACTGGGACCATGAGAAGCAGGAAGGGGCTTCTGTGGCGGCATACCGCTGGCTCATTGAGCTGGTAGCGGTAAGTCTCAGGGGACAGGAGGCGGTACTCCTCCGCTGGAAGAGCGCTGGGCTTCGGCGGAGCTTTACTCGGTGTGGAGAACAAGACGTGAACAGACAGGAAAAGCAGTGCTAAAGCGGTGAGGAACTTCACTAACCTCCATAAACAACTTCTCCTCATGGCCCCCAAGTGTCTGTGCACTCTGTAGTCCTAACGCCACGCCCAGTAAAACAAGGTTATACAGGAAGTCACGGAGCTCCTGTGACAGCAGGCCGACGGCCGCTCCCCGCAGGCCGGTTATGGCTAGAAAAGATCCGTCTAGTGTAAATATGACGTCACGTTCTCGTTGTAACTCTCGTTGTAATCGGAGCGGCTCGGAAACACATCTACAGCAGTAACATGATGCAACATACACATTAATGCAGCAGCAATATTAATAGAGAAACATCAGACATAATAGTAAAACACTGCAAGGGAACATTTTATTGCACCAGGAGCTATCTTGGGACTTTTACTGCGACAACGTTGACTTGCCTGTGAATAAAAAATAAACCATAGTGTTGGTGATCTACAGTGTTGTCATTCTTCTTTGAACACCAGCAAGACCGCTAACACCCTATTTCAACAATCACACTCCCTGTCATTGACATAATTAATAGATAGTTTAGCTTCTCATCATCATTTGCTGTGGCCCACTGATGTTAACGATCGTAACTGAAAGGCTGCTGCCAAACGTAAACATTCAGCCACGTGACATTCAGCCAAACTCTCGCGATAGTTTGCAAGTCTACTGATTTAGTAAAAAGCATACATTTTGAGCAAGTCCAGGACTTGTTGTCCATGGGAAGGAGGAAGACAAAGAGTTTTTCGAAAGCTCTGTCAAAATAAAGTGGAGCTTGAGTAGACCTGAACAAACAAAACGCCCCGGAACATCTTCCTTTTAAACAAACTGTTTTATTGTAATACAGAGAAACACCTGTTGTTCACCCAGTTATAAACAAACAAAACAATAAAAACAATTTAATTTACACAGGCATTCTTTAGAAGGTCAGTGGTTTAGTATGCTGCTGTAGCATGGGAAGGGGGGAGGGTCGCTCTTCAAACATTATTATCAACAACATAAGCATATAGAGACCTTGCTCTGTCCAATAAAAAATCAATTAGAATTGGCCGTTTTTTGTTTTGAGCATCAACATATTGTGTCAACAACACATATACCTAGTACTGTATTCACATTTTCCAAAAAGAAATAAAAAACATCATCACGCATGTTATCATATAGTGAATAACAGGTCCTGCCTCGGATCATAAGAGAAACTAAAGGAATATAAACACATGAGCTTTTCTTTTCTCTGTTCCTTACAACACTGTGGCTGTAGCATGATGCCTTCAGGGGCTTTTGTATGAATGGAAACATTGTCATCCATGTTGACATGGGATGAGGTGGGTTAAATACTTTTCCATACACATTTTTTTTTCTCTTTTAATTTCCATCTTTATCACATCATATCAGGGGCATCAGACTGGTGGGGGTGGGTGAAATGAGTATACAGCCATGGATGCTGGGAGGGGCCCGTAGACAATGGTTATGTACAGGGTCCAGACTTTTGTGCGACGCCCCTGCATCAGATGTAGCGGGAGATGGGGGAACCAGGGGAGGATAAAGTGACACTGAGACGAGTTACGCACGAGACAAACAAATGGCAGGTTAGATGGAGATATCTGACATCTGAGCAGTGCCATCGCAGGAATATCCCTTTGTTCTAAATGTTTAAATCAGACGGATACGTGTACCCTACTGTACAAGGAATATAATTTCTGTCATAATTCAGGAGAATTATCACATTATCATCGGTTTTATCAAAGAAGCCCTGAACCTAGACCTTGTTGTATCAAAACCAGCCTGTCCTTTGTGGGGATAACTGGTTTGAATGACTGTACATACTCAACATACTGTAATGCTCAAGAAGCACAGTGGCCTCCCCACAAACGCTGCAACACAAGAGAAAGGATCATAATCAGGTAAGATGGAGCTGTTTCTTTCTCTCTTGGGTGCGTGAGAAGAATCTGTTTGGGCTTGATTTAAGCCCAGTTTATGACATGCACATCGACTCCCGCACTGGCAGCATTTCCAAAACCGTTTTACTGAGGGGCGGGGCTTATGCAGTGGAGGCTGATCTGTGAGCGCAGATGTGTTTTGTTGGTTTTGTGTGGAGGCAGGGCTCTTGGCAGTGACTTTGGTTGCTGCAGTGTGTGTGTGTGTGTGTGTGTGTGTGTGTGTGTGTGTGTGTGTGTGTGTGTGTGTGTGTGTGTGTGTGTGTGTGTATGTGTGTATGTGTTTGTGTGTGTGTGTGGTGATGTGGTCATGGGGGTCCAGACAGAGTAGCAGTGTTGGGGATCCTTTCTAAGATCGTTTCCTCCTTCCCTCCAGGTTCCTGAAGGTTGGAGGCTGATCTTCATCTCGGCGAACTCGATCGAGGCTGCTTTCGTGGCCCTTTCCAGTGGAACCAGTTCACCCCCTGGGGAGGGACACATAAGGTCGGTCACCATACTAGTAATCCCAGACCAAACACACAGAGGGTGAAGAGAAGTACTCAGATCTTGTTCTTCTGTAAAAGTAGAAGTACCAAATTTGTGAGGGAATACTCTGTTTACAGGTAAAGGGGGGGTTCACCGCATTCAAAATGTGACTCAAGGGAAAGTACAAAAGTATTAGTATCTAAATATAGTTAAAGTACCAAACGTGAAAGTAGTCATTGTGCAGATTGGTCCATTTCAGAATAATATATATGATATGTTTTATAATGATTGATCATGAAAGTGTTCTCAAAGCTGGTAAAGGTGCAGCTAGTTTGAATGACTTTGTATACTGCAGGGTAGCTTGTGAGTTTACTCCAGGTGGAACTAAAGTATGATTCAACACTTGATTATATTTCACATCATTCATCCACATCTGTAAAGTAGCTAAAGATATTATATAAATGTAGTGGAGTAAAAGTACACCATTTACCTCTGAATTGTAGTGAAGTAAGGGTACAAAGTGAAATAAAATGTAAATACTCAAGTAAAGTACAAGTCTCTCAAAATTGTACACATGTTCAGTACTTGAGTAAATGTCCTCCACTGCTGACACATCCGGTTTGTCTCCTGTCTCTGGATCCCTTCAATTCATAAGTGTCCCTCCTTACGTGATCCTAACCCACATCCCTTCACCCCTCGTCCCATCTACCCCTTCATCCCTCCCTCTCCTCATTACTATATCCTCTCTACCTGTCTCCTGTCATCCCTTCCTATTCAACTTGTGCATCATTTTACAGTACGTTTAAAACACTGGCATCAAAGTAAATTGTGTTTCTTGACTGGGACATTCACTAATTTTTATAAATACTGTATAACAAGAAATCAGTGGAAGTCCCTCAGCAATCTGTAAACCCCTGAGAAAGATTGTCAGAACCTGCTCTTGGACCCTCTGAATGACCACAGTATCTACCTTGCTGTGACTGTTGTCTCCATATCGTCCCATGAGGTTGACACGGTGGCAGTTCTTATACCAGAAGGCTCCCTTATAGGACAGGGCACAGTTGGTGACAGCGATGTCGTTGTCATGGTCGTAGGTGGAGAATGGCCGGCCGTGGTGGTAGGTCATAGAGTCCCCTGCACAGAGAACACAGACAGTAATGTTAGAGATGAAAAGACTAACACTGGCAAACGCATGCACATGACAGAGTTATATTCTAGTCTGTTGGAATATATTTTATTGCGTCACGATGAAGTAAGGAGTGTCATAGAAAACATAATTTGTTAAAGGAGTGATTTAATCCCACTGAGTAACATGTTCCTTTATTACCATGAGAACACATACACACACACAAACACACAAACTTAAATGAATTCGGAAGAAATTAAAGTCTAACGTAATGCTATAAATAAGCTATATCACAGTAGCATGGCTGCGCATCACTAATGTTTGGCGTGATGACCTATAGTAGTCTAATTTAGTCACCTGTACCGCCGTTTTTTATGACACATACTGTATGAGCTCCGGACATTCACAGTGGGGTGTTTGTATTTTATGTTGTCGAACAAAATGTGAACATCTCTTCAGCTTGTGTGAACCGCAGACCTTATTTCAGGGTTGTAACCACAAAGGAACTGGAAGTGGTAAAATGCCAAGTCTTTTCCAGGTTATAGGACTCATTACTGCACCACTCTTATTTGTGAGCTGTTTTAAAATAAGGAACTACTGTGTTTGGTACAGCAGAATAAGAGCTTTTTACCTGCTGTTCCGCTGTACCCTCCTACGTGGACCTTGTAGCGGCTCCGGGGTTCAGAGATGGAGAACTTGTCGTACTGAGCGAAGGCCGTCTCTCCCTTATCTCTCAGGTCCACTCGCAGCTCGTACGGACCCCCAACCGTGATCTTATGCAGGTTAGAAAGGCCTGATAGAGAGAGAGGACATTATATACAAGATGGACGCACAACACAAATAATAATGCAGGGATGGCTTTGATAAAATGTTATACTATCTAAGTTTGAATATTGATTAGATGTATTTAATGATCCCATATTGGGAAATTGTTTTGTTATAGTGCCATGTAAAAGCCATTACATAGGACTTAAGAATATAATAAAAATAAACGTTAACAGTTAATACACATATGAAAAATAGAAAGATAATTACCCAGAGTATCTATATATATCATGTAAAAATATACAGAGTAAGTGAGAAATGCACTGTACTGAACCAACTACTATACTAAAACAAATGATAAGGAAGGAAGAAAACAATGGAAAAAGATAAATGTCCAACGAGGTGTTCTGGGGCAGCATAGACAGGTATTTTCTATGTTAGAGTTTTACTCGCTACAGGGTGTACTTTGAGGGTTTTTGACTCTGCACACCGTTTACATGCAGAAAAACCTTCCTAACACACAAGGGGACGGGTAATAACCAGAAAAGCATGACATGGGGCCTTTAAATGAATCAACTGTGTAAAGAATATATATTATCACTGATACACTACATTTTATCTGGCCATATTGATATATGAGCATGTCTTTGTTGAAATTACCCAGCCAGAATTCATCATTCATGTCTCCGAAGCCTGCTGTGTAATTCTTCCAGTTGCGGAAAAACTCCAGTCTACCACTCTGTCTGCGGAGGAAAACCTGAAATGGAAAACAACACCAGTTTAGTCAAAAAACTGTAAAACATGTTTTGTTTTGGTGACACCTTTTATGATTAGAAGGTGCATAAGGTCTTAGAACATTATTATTGAAGCCTACGATGGCCACCCCCATGCTCTATGTATAAAAAAGGCTAACTATAACTGTTGCTGAAATGTTTGGGTTCACATGATTTACACAGATTTGCTGCCACATTTAAGCATTTGTTGACAACTCAAGAATTGATTGAATAATGAAAATTCCCCCCACTATGCCACATTAAGACACTAAGACCTTGAGGAACACCATACACCACAACATACCAAATGTATGGGACAACAATAGTTGTTAGGGACCCAAGCATAGAGACATTTCAACTCAAATACACCATTTTAGAAAGTGAATGTATAACTTCATACTGCATACAATAACTGAATTTGAAATCAGCATATTTACTCTAGCCTTGAGCTTGTGGGTCCTAAAGGGTTCAAGCTATATTCATTTTATTTTCTGTTGATTTGGTACATTAAACAAACTGTAAACCTAACATTGATATAAGAGGACCTTATAAAACTGTTATTGCTAACAGGTTAGAAAGTGGATTGTCAAACGGATGCCTATTAACACAGAAATAAATACAGGAACATCCCCTAACTGATAAATGCTACACTATGTTCTTCAGCTAGTCTCTAACTTTATGGTCCCTGGTGAACAGGTAGAGTACAGTAAGTTTATAATATATTATCTCAAAATAGCTGCTGCTGAGGGTGATGAGAGCCGTGAGAGTGAACGAAAACCAAAGGATGAACGGAGTCAAAGGCCGAGCTGAGAGGAGCTACAGCCAAAGATTATTCTCTGTAGGTCTACCTGACATTACACACAGTCAAATAATCCATTGGTAATATAGAAATATTGATTAGTGTAGCTTTAAATATGAAAACAAATTGGACATATACAGTATGATGCTGTTAGTTGGTGACTTACGATCCATCCGCCTCCATCAGTCGCCATGTCGCAGTACACCTGCACGGGCTGGCTCTCATCTCCACCCAGGTAGATGGTGTACAGGTCTGAGGAGGTGTCACCATTCAGCAGGGCCTGGGAGCAGTCCCGGGGGTATCTGTACAGCACGCCAGCTACACACACACACACACACACACACACACACACACACACACACACACACACACACACACACACACACACACACACACACACACTGATGGAATAATCAACCTTGTGGGCTCAACACAATCTTTGATGAGGGACAGTGGGTGGTAAAATGTTGACTTGGAAGACCTGCCTCAGAGCAATAATATTAAGTTTAAATAAAACATATTAGGTTCTACTTAATTGCTTTCAACTAACCTATTACAGTTATGTGAAATCTGCTGGCATAATACATTCAACTAAAGTCAACGTTTCAGTTTTTTCAGTGCAGTGATTGGCTGATTGCTTTTAGTATTTTCTAGCTGCAGGCACCTAGTCCCCACCTAGGACAACCCAGCTTGCATTGGGGGGGACACACCAGTCAATCACATGAACGCAATGTTAATGTCTCAAAGTCTTTGGATTGTGGGGGAAACCTTTTGATGTATCTATTTCTGCATACTGACATTCCAACAGGTTAGACGATATATGAGGTATTTCCGTAAATAACAGAAAAAGCTGAGCAAAACTCAGGGGAGGGACTCGTCTCTAAAAAGCTGGTCCACCTTAAGAAAGTTCAGTCCACCTTAATTGAGGATGGGCTAAAGTTGTTGCTAACTTTGTGCTAACCCCGTTCACTTTTAAATCAGCAGATGGGAATGTTTGGGTCCTGATGTGTATTTTTTAAGCAACATAGTACAACTACACATGGATTTAATCCCAAAGGAGCGCGCTACTTGTAGAACAAATTGTAGCTTATAAAATACAAAAATAAGTACATATTTAAAAGAAAATTCCCAAATGCTTAATCCCAGCGGAAAGTCAATTTACACAAAACACTGACATAAAACAAGCCACAGCATCTCCGAGGGCCAAGTACAGTTTAACAGAAAGAGTTTGTGTCCCAAACACACATTTTTGACCCAAAAGAAAATACCTCTGGTTTACCGTGATATTGCCCAAACATAAACAAGGAGCCACTCCGGCCAGAGGACCTTCTAAGGAGTGTTGACAGTACTAACAAAATACCAAAGTCAGAGAAAGGCTGCTTGCCTGCTGCAAAAACTCCTTAAAGTAATTGGGATTTTATTTGCCCTTCCACTTCGTATCTTACAGTATTATAAATACACCGTTTGAAATGTGTTTTTAATAGAGCTGTGCAGTGTGTGCATGGGGTCACTCACTGGTAGTGAAGACAGTGGTGATGACTCGGCTTCTCTTCGGCCCAGCGATGGCCTGCAGCTTGACGGAGTACTGTGTGGAGGCGCTGAGCTGAGCCATGTTATAGGACACCGCATTGGGACTCAAGACGACCTCCTGAAGGAGCAAACACGGTCAAACAGTTAGTTCCCAAACACATGTAGGACTCTGAGTGTAGTCCAGGATGTAGTCCAGGATGTGGAGTTGGGCGTGCACTCACCCGGATGGTGCCGTCCGCAGACTCAAAGCTCAGGATGTATCCGGTGATGTCGGCGCGCGGCGGCTTCCAGCTCAGCAGGCCGTTCTCCGTCTGGATGTTACTGGCTGCCAGGTCTTGAGGGGCGTCCACATCTAAAGACACAAAGCTTATATCTTACTGTCCATTTTTCGGTCAGCTTATCAAACAGGACAGTGGCTGAAACGCACTAACTCGGCCCAAAACATTTCCTTAAGGAGAACGTTGCCTTAAAAAATTGAAATAAAATAAACCCCGGAAAGAAGCTCTAAACACGGAAATGGGCACACAGCTGGGACCGGAGCTCACTGAAAAAACTGAAACTTTGACTTTAATGAAATGTATGATGTCAACAGATTACACATAACTGAATTAGGTTAGTTGAAAGTAATAATATTATGTTTAAATACAAAGTATTAGGTTCAACTTAATATTATTGCTTTCAACTAACCTAATGCAGTTGTGATAACATAAAAGTCAGGTTTCAGTTTTTTCAGGGCTGTGTTTACACTATTTATTTATTCCGATTTAGCTTTTTTTATTCACAGCTTTTTGTTTCTCTAGCACTTTTAGTAAACGCTATGCATAGTTGTCAAGTTGGTGAAAACGTTTCTTCATTTCCATCTGTTTTGGCACATTTGTGTTGACATCGTTTTTGAAAATGCATTTCTCATAATGCAAGTGTTTTGGGCCGTTATAGTGCGTTTGCTGTCATTCCTGTGATGTTACAAATGTTTTGATTCAGAATTGCAAAGGTAGAGACATATTAAATAAACAGGCATGTCACACACAGATCAAATAAAGAATATATGTAATATACACTGAACAAAAATATAAATGCAACACTTTTGTTTTTGCTCCCATTTTTCATGAGATGAACTCAAAGATCTAAAACATTTTCTATATCCACAAAATAACCATTTCTCTCAAATATTGTTCACAAATCTGAAAAAATCTGTGATAGTGAGCACTTCTCCTTTGCCGAGATAATCCATCCCACCTCACAGGTGTGGCATATCAAGATGCTGATTAGACAGCATGATTATTGCACAGGTGTGCCTTAGACTGGCCACAATAAAAGGCCACTCTGAAACGTGCAGTTTTGCTTTATTGGGGGGGTCCTGGGGGGGGGTCCGAAAACCGAGTCAGTATCTGGTGTGAGGGTTAGGGTTAGGGTTAGGGTAATGTTGTGAATCGAGTGGCC